AAATCCTCACCACTCGCGTCTCCAGCAGCCGCTCCCGGGCTCCCCCCGCGGCCCCCAGGGACCCCCCCCGGGCCTTGGCGCAGACGAGCAGGGCCAGGTCCTGCAGGTAGCTCAGGAGGGACCCCGAGCGCAGCTCCAGCAGGGACAGGCCCTGCAAGGGGGAAAGGGAACCCCAAAACTGCCCAGTTTCACCCCAAAAATATCCAGGGAGTAGCACAGAGTTACCCCGGAAAAATCACCACAAAATACCCGGAAATCGCCCCCAAAAAATGCCCGAAATACCCGGAATTCGCCCCAAAAAAATGCCCGAAATCGCCCCAAAAAAATACCCGAAATACCCAGGAATTGCCCCAAAAAAATCCCAAAAATACCCAGAAATTGCCCCAAAAAAATCCCCAAAATTCCCAGAAATTGCCCCAAAAAAATGCCCGAAATACCCGGAAATTGCCCCAAAAAAATGCTTGAATTCGTCCCGAAAAAATACCCAAAATACCCAGAAATTGCCCCAAAAAATTACCCAAAATACCCGGAATTCACCCCAAAAAAATGCTTGAATTCGTCCCGAAAAAATACCCAAAATTCACCCCAAAAAAATGCTTGAATTCGTCCCGAAAAAATACCCAAAATACCCAGAAATTGCCCCAAAAAAATCCTCAAAATTTGACTCCAAAATCCCCAGAAATCGCCCCAAAAATCGCCCCCGAAATATCCCCAAAAACCCAAAAAATTCTCCCAAATCCTCCTCGGGATCCCCCAAATCCCCTCAGGGATCCCAAAATTCCCTCAGGATTTCAAAATTCCCCCCAAAATTCCCCAAATTCCCCTCAGGGATCCCAAAATCCCCTCAGGGATCCCAAAATTCCCTCAGGATTTCAAAATCCCCTCAAAATTCCCTCAAAAATCCCAAAATTCCCTCAAAATTCCCTCAGGGATCCCCCAAATCCCTTTAAAATTCCCTTAAATCCCCTCAAGATTCCAAAATTCCCCTCAGGATCCCCCAAAATTCCCTCAGAGATCCCAAGTTTCCCTCAGGATCTCCCAAATTTCCCCTAAAAATTCCCTTAAATCCCCTCAAAATCCCCTCGGGATCCCTCAAATCTCCTCAGGGATCTCCAAAACCCCTTAAAGAACCCAAAATTCCCCTCAGGAATCCCAAAATTTCCCCCAAAATCCCTCAAATCCCCTCAGGGATCCCAAATTTCCCTCAGGAATCCCCAAATTTCCCTCAGGATCCCCCAAATTCCCCCTTAAAATTCCCTTAAATTCCCTCAAAATCCCCAAAATTCCCCTCAGGGACCCCAAAATTCCCTCAGGATTTCAAAATTCCGCCCAAAATTCCCTCAGGAATCCCAAAATTCCCTCAAATTTCCCTCAGGAATCCCAAAATCCCGTCAAAATTCCCTCAAAATTCCCTTAAATCCCCTCAAAATCCCCAAAATTCCCCTCGGGATCCCCAAAATTCCCCTCAGGGACCCCAAATTCCCTCAGAGATCCCAAAATTCCCCCCAAAATTCCCCAATTTCCCCTCAGGATTTTCCCAAATTCCCGCCCCTCCGGTACCTCCTTGGTGTCGAGCCGTCCTCCCCTCACTCTCCGCAGCATTTCCCGCCCGTGCGCCGCCACTTCCGCCGCCTGCGGAGACCCCGGAGCGTCATTTTGGGGCAATTTCGTCCAATTTTGGGGTTTTTTTGTTGAGATTTTGGGGTCTCACCTGAGCCCGCAGCGCCTCCAGCAACGCGACCGCCTCGCCCGCCGCCATGATGGAAATGAGCGTGAGGGGAGGACTCGGCAGCCAATGGGAGCGAGGCGCGCGAAGCCTCGACCAATCAGAGCGCAAGAAGCGCGTACATATGCCCGCCCATAGGGCGGGGGAAATGATTGACGGGCTCAAGAGCCAATCAACGCGCGGAATCGCAGAACGCTGACCAATGGGATTAAAAAGGCGGGAAACCGCGCGTCCCGCCCTATGACGATCAGCCAATTGCAACGCGCTACGCGATGATTGACAGGCTCATCAGCCAATGAGAAGCCAGAATTTACCCCGAAGCGGCTCTAACGCTTTAAAACCGCGAAAATTCCATTTTTTTCCACCAAAATTTCATTTTTTCCACCCAAAAAATTCCCTTTTAACCCCCCAAACCCAGTCAGGACCCTCTAAATTATCTCCAGGATTACAAAAGTTCAATTTTTTCACTTAATATCCTTCAAATTCCGATTTTTTCCTCCCGGTTTCTATTTTTTTTTCCAATTTTTAACTCGGAATTTTCCCGATTTTGACCCAAATTCCCGCATTTTCCTCCCGATTTCCACCCAAAATCTTTCCCCTCCGAACTTTCCCGTCCTTAATCCGATTTTCCGCGTTTTTTTTAACCCAAAATTCCCATTTTTTAACCCAAAATTCCCATTTTTTAACCCAAAATTCCCCAATTTTGCCTCAAAAAATGCCCAATAAAACCCATTAAAAACCCCCAAAATTAAAACTCTAATTCCACAAAAAATTCTGATTTTTTACCTTCAAATTTCCGCTTTTTTCCCCAATTTTCCCGCCAAAAAAATCCCCGCCAAAACCCCATTTTTTCCCCTAAAAAAATCCTTTTTTTACTCTAAAATCCCCAATTTTTCCCTCGAAAAAAATCCCATTTTCCACCTAAAAAAATCTTAATTTTTTTCCTCAAAAACTCCCAAATTTTTCCCACCAAAAAATCCCCAAAAAATCCCATTTTCCCTTTAAAAAAATTCTCATTTTTTACCCCAAAATCCCCATTTTTTTCACCCAAAAAATCCCATTTTTTTCTCCTAAAAAATCCTCATTTTTATCCCAAAATTCTCAATTTTTTCCTAATTTTTCCGACCAAAAAAAATCCCATTTTTCCCCTAAAAAAATCTTATTTTTATCCCAAAATTCTCAATTTTTTCCTAATTTTTCCGACCAAAAAAAATCCCATTTTTCCCCTAAAAAAATCTTATTTTTTCTCCCCAAAAATCCCCAATTTTTCTCAAAAAAAAATCCCCCAAAAATCCCATTTTTTTCTCCTAAAAAAACCTCATTTTTTCCTCCAAAATCGTCAACTTTTCCACCCCAAAAAATCCCATTTTTTCCCCCCAAAATCCCCAATTTTCTCCCCAATTTTCCCACCAAAAATCCCGCAAAAAAATCCCATTTTTACCCCTTAAAAAATTTTCATTTTTTCCCCCAAAATTCCCAAGTTTTCCGCCCAAAAAATACAAAAAAAATTCCCAAAAAAATCCCATTTTCCCCCCAAAAAAACCCTCATTTTTTCCCCAAAATCCTCAATTTTTTCCCCAAAATCCCCAATTTTTCCCCCCCAAAAAATCCCATTTTTTTCTCCTAAAAAATCCTCATTTTTTCCCCCAAAATCCCCAATTCTTCCACTGAAAAATTCCCCAAAAAACCCCAATTTTTCCCCCCAAATTCCCAATTTTTCCACCAAAAAATCCCCAAAAAAATCCCATTTTTCCCCCAAAAAATCCCCAATTTTTCCACCCAAAAAATCCCATTTTTTCCCCTAAAAAAATCCTCTTTTTTTCCCCCAAAATCCTCAATTTTTCCCCCCCAAAATCCCCATTTTTCCCCCCAAAATCCACAATTCTTCCACCAAAAAATTCCCCAAAAAATCCCATTTTCCCCCCAAAAAACCCCTCATTTTTTCCGAAAAAAACCCCAATTTTTCCACCCAAAAAAATCCCATTTTTTCTCCTAAAAAATCCTCGTTTTTTCCCAAAACCCCCAATTTTTCCACCCAAAAAAAATCCCATTTTTACCCTAAAAAATGTTCATTATTTTCCCCCAAAAAAATCCACTTTTTTCCACCCAAAAGCCCCAATTTTTCCCCCAAAAATCCCCAATTTTTCCACCCAAAAAATCTCAAAAAAAATCCCATTTTCCCCCCAAAAAATCCTCATTTTTCCCCCAAATATCCCCATTATTTCCACCCAAAAAAACCCCATTTTACCCCTAAAAAAATCTTATTTTTTCTCCCCAAAATTCCCAATTTTTCCACCCAAAAAATACAAAAAAAATTCCCAAAATAATCCCATTTTTCCCCCCAAAAAAACCCTCATTTTTCCCCCAAAATCCCCAATTTTTCCACCCAAAAAAATCCCATTTTCCCTCTAAAAAATGTTCATTTTTTTACCTCAAAATCCCAAATTTTTACACCCAAAAAAATCCCATTTTCCCCCCAAAAATCCTCATATTTTCCCCTAAAAAAATCCACTTTTTTCCACCCAAAATCCCCAATTTTCCCACCCAAAAAAACCCCCAAAATCCCCATTTTTCCCCCCAAAAATCCCCAATTTTCCCCCCTAAAAAAACCCCCAAAATCCCCATTTTTCCCCCCAAAAATCCCCATTTTTCCCCCCC